GAAAGTCTTAACCACTTGAGCTGTCTGCACAGGGAAGGCAGCAGTAGCAGTAGCAGCTGCCTTCCCTGTGCAGAGAGCCTGGGCAGCAGTGACAGAAAGAGGGGCTAAGTACAGACAGTCAAAAATCCTGAGGCTGACTCAGTTCAATCTTCGCAGGCTAGTCTAACCTGTATTGATTGAGATGATAAGCAGGGATCAAGGTTTTCTGTTTCCCATGGAAAAATGGAGTAAACTGCATATTTTACCTTTTACTGGAAAAACCCACGGATTTTGCAGTTTTGCAATGAGCTACCTGAAGGCTGGCAGGGAGTGGGAGAAGGGCAGTCAGGCAGGGGGCGCCATGTGCATGTACCAGTAAGTGGTGGGGGCGGGATTGAGGCCCCCATAGGGAGGGAGGGAGTGGGGGAGGGCTGGGGCTAGCCGGGCAGTGCCTGGGGCTTGGGGCTCAGGGCCACAATGTATGGCTGCAGGGCCCCAGCAGGGAGTGGGATGGGACTGTGAGCAACTCGTTTGGCGGATGGGGCTGACTCCCCACTCCTACACATGCTCCCAGGGAGCAGGGGGTACCTGCACCCCCCAGACCTGTACACAGGGCAGGGGCAGGGCAGGCTGCATGCTGTGGACTCAGACGGTGGGGAGGAGGGGGTAGCTGCTCCCAGCCACTGCACACACTCCTGGGGAGGTAGGGGGAACCTGTGCCCCACAGATCTGTGTGCAAGGTGGGGGGTGCATGCTGCCTGCTTCAGGCTTGTGCTCCCTGCCCTGCTGCTGTCTTCTGGGGCCTCTGTAGCCCAGTATGTGCAAGCTGATGCTGCAGGGAACAGCAGAGTCATGCACAAAGCTGCCTGGCATTGCATGCTCTGCACTGCCCTGACCCCCGCACGCAACTCTGCGATGTTGCCCCCACTGCAGCCATGCAGGCAGGGGATGCATCACCAGGCAGCACGGAGCCTGTAGCAGCAGGCAGCTTCCTGCATGGCTCTGCTGTTCTTTGCAGAGCTGGGGCCCACACACTGGGCTGTGGAGGCCCTGGGGGAGGGTAGGAGGGCAGGGAGCATGAGCCTGAAGCAGGCAGCGTGCAGCCCTACATTCTGCACACAGATCTGGGGGGCAGATGTTCCCCCTACACCCCAGAAGTGCTCACAGCAGTTGGGATCAGCTCCCCTGCTTGAGCCTGTAGCAGGCAGACAGCAGGGGGGAGCCAGGCTCTGCTCCATCAGAGCAGCTGCCACCTCCTGCCAGGGGCAGGAGGCTGTGGACTAGGTCCCTGGCCTCATAACCCTCATACCTGGGGACTCCTTCTGGCAGGGCTAGGAGAGCAGGGGCTGTGGGTTGGGGGCAAGGGGCACCAGCAGGGCAAGGAAGGCTGTGGAGGAGAGTGAGGGGCACAAGCAGAACCAGGGCATCTGTGGGTGGGGAGTGAGGGGCATGAGCAGAACCAGGTGGGCTGTGGGGAATCTTTCATTTTAACCATGGATTTGCAAGGGGGGTATCAGCGACTTTGCAATTTTTTTTATCAGAGAATTTGTGATTTTTTTTTCTGGGAAAACCAGGATCCCTGCTGATAAGCCGTGAATAGACGTTCACTTTTGATTCTGGAAATGCAGCCACATGCCTGTAGTGGCCCAGGCCAAAAGCCAGGGGGTGCTAAAGCATGCCTCCCTGCTTGACTGGAGCAGACAGTATGGGCCAAGGTTAGCCTGCCTATGCTGCAAGGCAAGGATTACGAGGCAGGTGCAAAGCATTGTGGGATACTGTGGAACTATGAGTTAACTTGAATCTGGGCTAGAGACAGAAGTTACAAATAAACTGGTTTAAGTGATCAGAAATGGGTTTAAACCTGTAACAAAATAGAAGCTCAGTGCACATAAACCAGTTTCAAAATGGCTGAAACTGGTTTAAGATAAACCTGCTTGTATGTAGTATCAGACTTAACTGGTTTTGGTCAAACTGGTTTATGAAAATTGGGTCCCAGCCCCCTTCCTGGTTCAAGTTAAATCACAGTCCCCCAGCATCCCAGGATGCTTTGCAGCCCTGGGCTGGTCTATGCTGTCTGCTCCAGAGAGCAGAGCTGGCCCTGCCCTGTTTCTCCCTAACTGGAGCGGTGAGGGTTGGGGGGCAAGCCTAGCTTGGGATGCAGCCCAGTCTATGGGGGGGGAGGGTTGGGACTGCTCCCCCCAGGGAAACCCCAGCTGGGATCTGGAGCCAGGGAGGCAGGAGTTAAAGAACCCTTCCCCCACTCAAACTTACTACTGGCTGCAAATATGGACTACAAATCCCAGAGGCACCTGGAAGTAGGAAAAGGAAGTGATGAGCAATCCTGCAGAGTGCTGTTGTAAGTCTGGACTGCAAATCCCAGAGACCTCGGGGGCAGCAGGAAGAGGAAGTGAACACACAACCAGAGAGCTGTACTCTAGTGCCCCTGGCTTCTGGCCTGAGCGAGGCATGTGGCTGCATTTCCTGAATCAAAAGTAAATGTCCGCTCACTTCTGTTTCAATTTAATCTCTGCAGCTTAGATTCATAGATCATTAGGGGCTGGAAGGGACCTTGCAGATCATCGAGTCGAGCCCCCCTGCTCTAGGCAGAAAGACAACTGGGGTCAAGTGACCCCAGTGAGATGACCATCCAGTCTCTTGAAAACCTCCAGGGTAGGTGACTGCACCACCTCTGGAGGGAGTTTATTCCACAGTCTGGACACCCTGACTATGAAGGAGGTTTTTTCTGGTATTAAGCCTGAAGCAGCCTTCTAGGAGTTTGTATCCATTGGTCCTGGTCTTCCCCACGGGTGTGCTAGTGAACAGTTGTTCAGTGAGCTTCTGATGCACTTCTCTGACATAACGGTAAGCTGCTATCAAGTCTCCTCTCAACCTTCTCTTTTTTAGGCTAAAAATGCCCGGGTCCCTCTGCCTTTCCTCATATGACTTGCTTTGCAAGTCCCTGATCATACGGGTGGCTCTTTTCTGGACCCTCTCAAGTTTTTCCACATCCTTATTGAAATGTGGCACCCAGAACTGGATGCAGTACTCCAACTGCGGTCTCACCAGTGCTGAGTACAGCAGGAGTATCACTTCCTTAGTTGTACGCGAGATGCATCGTTTGATGCATGCCAGCATGTTGTTGGCCCTGCTAGCCACCGCATCACACTGACGGCTAATGTTCATGCGATGGCCAGTCATTACCCCTAGGTCTTTTTCAGCTGTGGTGCAGGTCAGGCTGTCACCTCTGAGCCTGGATGTATGTTGAGGGTTGCTTGCCCCTTGATGAAGCACCTTACACTTGGAAGTGTTAAACTTCATCTGGTTCCGGTCTGCCCAACTCTCGAGCCTGTCCAGGTCTGCCTGTATCTGCAGCCTGTCTTCTGGAGTGGCCACACTGCCCCATAACTCGGTGTGATCCGCAAACTTGGCCAGTGAGCTTTTCACTCCCCAATCTAAATCTTTGATAAAGATGTTGAAAAGCACCAGTCCAATCACAGACCCCCAAGGGACACCACTAGTCACTTCTCACCAAGACAACACAGATCCATTCATGAGAACTCTCTGGGTCCTACCATGCAGCCAGCCAGTTTTCCACCCACTGAACCGTTGAGCAGCTGAGGCCACAGTCTTCCAGTTTTCCCACCAGGCTATCATGGGATACTAGATCAAAAGCCTTTTGGAAGTCTAGGTATATAACATCTACCTTGTCTTCCATATCCAGGTAGTGAAAGACCTGGTCAAAGAAGGAGTTGAGATTGGTAAGACAAGACCTACCTGCAACAAAGCCATGCTGGCTGTCATTCAGAATCTTACCTTCCGCAAGTGTATTGCACATAGATTCTTTAATGAGCTTTTCCAGGATTTTCCATGGGATTGAGGTTAGGCTGATTGGCCTATAATTGCCCAAGTCCTCCCTCTTCCCCTTCTTAAAGATGGGCACAATGTTGGCCCTCTTCCAATCCTCAGGGGTCTGCCTGTGTGCTGTGAATTCTGAAAGAGTTTTGCCAGGGGTTCCACGATGACTTCAGCCAGCTCCTTCAGCACTCTCGGATGGGGTCCATCCAGTCCCGCTGACTTATAAATGTCTAGCTTTTCTAGTTGGTATTGCACCCGCTCAGCATCCACAGTGGGGAGGCTGCCAATCCCGGTGTGCCCCCTATGAGCCTTATCTCAGTTGACTTTCCCCATGGTCCGGTGAAATACCAAAGCAAAGTGGGCATTCAGGAGTTCAGTTTTTTCCTGAACATCAGTTACCAGCTGTCGTGAGGTGTTAAGCAGGGGTCCCATGCTTCCATTTCTTTTCCTTCTACTGCCTAAATACCTAAAGGAGGACTTCGTATTGTCCTTGACTCCCGTAGCTAACCTAAACTCAGTCACCGCCTTGGCTTTCCTGATTATTTCCCTAAAAGTGCTGGCCACTCATACCTAGCTTCCATTCTGCATACACCTCTTTTTTCTTTTTTAAGAGGATTGCAATATCCCTATTAAGCCAGGAGGGCTTCTCAGCCCTCCTGCTACCTTTCTTCTTTGCAGGAACAGTGTCCTTTTGTGCTACAAGGATCGTGTCCTTGAGTGATGACCATTCTTTGTGCACCCCATTTGCCTTCCCTTCCTGGTCCCTCATTGCCTCCCCTACTAATGCTCTGAGCCTATCCAAGTCCAGGACTTCAATCCTGCTGGTAGATTTGTTGACCTTGAGGCAGACGGTAAACCTGATAATTTCATGGTCGCTGTCGCCCAGGTTACCCTCAATGTTCAAGCCACACACCAGATTATCTCCCTTGGCCAAGACCAGATCCAGAAGAGCATTACCTCTGGTTGGCCCTTGCACTTCCTGGGTCAGAAAGAACTCCTCGATTAACCTGCAAAGACTGAATTAGTTTAGCCTCAGGCTTTTTGATTGTCTGTACCTAGCCCTGGAGGGGATCTGGGACAGAAGTTCAATAAATTGATTTACCCTAAATCAGTGAAGTCTGATACTATATCCATCCAGGTTTATCTTAAATTGTTTTTGGCCATTTTGAAAGTGGTTTATATGCACAGAACTTCTGCTGTTACCAGTTTCTGATCACTTATACCAATTTATGAGTAATTTCTGTCCCTAGCTAGAGAATCCAGCAGCAGCAGCCCTGTGATGCAGGCTCCCTGAAGCCACCCTAGAGCTCCAGTCACTCCTCCCTACTGCAGATATACTACTGGGTGCAGGGCTGCACCTACTAAGAAAAAAACTCCCTGGGGTAGTGGGGAGCACTGTTTCACTCACCCCTGTACACGCAGATACATTGTTGGATACAGGGGTGCTGTGGTAAAGACTCCCTGATGAGGAGGATTCTGGTGCCCTTTCATAGTGCCAAGGGCTGGTGCCTTGCTTCCACCGCCACCCTTATTACACTACTCTGTGATGCACGTTGAGTAAGTTGAGCTCTGGAGCACATGCAAAAGTAACTGAAGATGCCTGGGTGGTTTCAAACAATCATTTTAGGGCCTAGGGTAGCTCTAAGGACAACAGCATTCCAGTCCTAAAGAAGTGAGAACCAAGGTTTATTTTTGTAATATCTTTTATTGGAGCAACTGTATAATTGAAAGAAATGTTAGACAAACTTTCAGGCACAAAATGCCCTGAAATTCCGCAGAGAAAGGAAAGAAGCAGATAAGCCTGTCTGAAATCTCCAAACCATACAATTGTTCCAATAAAAGATATTACAAAACAAATTTTGCTTCTCACATGTTCCCTTTGGTAACCATCATTTTTACAATGATACTCTGACCCTATTACACCCAAGAAATGAGTCAGAAAAAATATCTGATCCTAGAGGCATGCTGTATAGATCTAGAGCTAAAAACCATGACTAGGCGCTATCCAGAAGAGATGGATAGGAAGTGTGTGACCCAACCACAGACTGGTAACTGAAGCAAAGTACCCAATCAAGGTGTAGAAGTACCTCTGAGTAGCATATATTTTAATTACCTACATAATTTATTTTCAGTCTTTCAGTCTAATTCATTATAAAATTTATGATGTTGTTTGTAATATTCCATTGTCTAAAATAAGTAGAATGTTGTCCAAAAATTTTTCAAACAAAATGGAAATTTCCTTTAAAATTTCCTCAAAGAAATTTAAAAAAATCAAAAGCAATCCCACAACTGGAAACCAAATCATTTTTTTTCTGCTGACTGAAAACAAATTTATGGCAGTTTGATTTTTAGATGAACATTTTAAAAAGTAAAGCAAAACTTTAATGATATGAAAAAACGTTATAATCAAGATCATCTCAGTCTTAGAAATAATTTCATAACCCCCTAATCGTTTATAAATGCTGTCTATAAACATATTGGAGGGGTGGCCAAGCCATAGCTCATTAGGTGCATGAAGCTTCCAGTCAAACACAGCTCCTGAAGAAAGGGAAGTAGTTAAACAAAAACATTTGTTTCCTCTCTTCCTGTTTGTTTGTTTGTTTATTCCATTCTTACTTATTTTTTTATTGTGACAAGATATTTAATGGCAGTTTATTATCTGTGCTGGAGCACTGTGCCAAATCATTGATTCCAGGGGGTTCAATCAGTTATTAGATAAAAGCACCAAAAAGCCCCACAGTAGCACCCAATCAATTCAGAGGCAGGGTGAGCTGGGTCAAATGAATATGGGCCCTCTTCTGACTATGCATTGCTCTTGGTGCACAGGTGCAACAAACTGAAAGTAAAGCACCATTTTGTTTTGTTTTTTCCACGTCCGTCAGCAGCCATTAAGATTATGGGGAAGGAGGTTGGCTACTCCTGCTGTATTGCTTACTTAATACAATTGTACTAGGTGATATTTATTAAGTATACATTTCTTCTCTATTTCATTGCTAGTATTCACTGATGGACCTCTTATCCAAAATGGTTGTTGGACAGCCTCACTTTGTCCGCTGCATTAAACCTAATGATGATAGAGAAGCACTGAAATTTTCCCATGAAAGAGTTCTAGTGCAGTTACGGTACACTGGAATTCTAGAAACTGTCAAAATACGTCAGAAAGGGTATTCTCACCGCATCCTCTTTGAAGAATTTGTGAAAAGGTAAGACACGTCTTTCTTGTAACAGATCTCCTTTTAGGACTCCATTCAGTCAAGTGTGAGCTCATGCTCTGCATGTCTTGCTGTGGAAGTTACGGCCTGGTTTGGATCTCAGGTACCATAATGAAAATGAAAGGTAGCTCAGGTCAATGGAGTTGTATTTGTGTTAAATCAGTGTAAGACATAATTTTCAATATAAAAAATATCCCCATCCTATGAAGTAGTGATAGGGACATATGTGTAAATACACATCACCATCAGCTAGCACAAGAATCAAGAAGTTAACCACCTTGAATCTCCATGTAAAGACTATACACATGGTGAGAAAAGGAACTGATACAAAGCTTTGCACAAACTCCCTCATAGGAGAGCATTAAATCTATGCTACCTGAAGAGCATTAACAAGGCAGTGGAAAAATACTAACAATCCATAAAAAGAGCCCTAAGGAAAGGCACTTTGTTCTTGAAAGCTTATCTAACATCTCCCCAGCTATCCATTTGGTCCTATAAAAGATAACACAAGAAAAACCCTTGTTTTTGCATATTTCCTGGACCATCACAGCTATTACAAAACCCCAACCCTGCTAATAAGTCATCACATATTTTTCACCAATGTCGATTTCTGCCGAATTACAATATTTCAGTCTGTTTATAGATGTTACGTAGAATCATTGAAATCACAGAATCATAGAAATGTAGGATTGAAAGGGACCTCAGGGGGCATCTAGTCCAATTCCCTACTCAAAGCAGGACCATCCCCAACTATAGCATCCCAGACAAGGCTTTGTCTAACTGGGTCTTAAAAACCAGTAAGGACGGAGAGTGTTTTACTACCTTCCTGGTAGGGGTGTGAGAAATGGGCTATATTCAATACGGATTCAGATTCGGCCCAAATTCGGGGACAGTGATTCGATTCGTTGATTCAATTAGGCCAAATCTGAATCTGAAGATTTGATGCTGATTCAGAGAAACAGTGATTCGGCCACAGACACAACTTTAAATGTTTTTTCTACATACCTTGACTTACTAGGCATGGCTCATGAATGCTGAAATGCTGGGGCAGATGGGGCATCCCACAGGAGCATAGGGGGGCCCCCCATGTGCTAAGTGGCAAACCCAGAAGTGGACTGGAAGTAGTTCCAGTCCATTTCCAGGTCCACCACTGAATGCACAGGGGTCCACTTCCGGGTCTGCTGCCAAGGGTGCTGGGGAGCCCCGCCACACTCCTGTGGGATGCTCCAACTGCCCCAGCATCTCAGCATTCACTGGCTGCCTGGTACCTAGGGGTATGTAGATAAAACATTTAAGACTGTGTCTATGTCTGAATCATCAAATCTTTCTGAATCTCTCCAAATTGATTCAGAGGGTTCTGATATGATTCAGAGAGATTAAAGGGTTTCCTGATTCAATTTGGATTCAGAAATTCGGCCACCGAATCGGGCTGAATCTCCACCAAGTCAAATCAGGGACTGAAGCTTTGCACTTCCTGGTAGGAGTTTTTCCTAATATCTAACCTAAATTTACCTTGCTGTGACTTGAGACCATTGGTCTCATAGGGCACATGAGCGACAAGAGGTGAAGTGATTTGCCCACCAGCCTATGGGACTCGTCAGGGCTTGTTTTGTGCCATTCCTATGTTCAGTTCACTTTCCCATTCTTCTTAAACAGTGTTTGTCCTTCTCCAGACTTAAAAAATAGCTAAGCTTGAACAACTCATTTGTTGAACAAGCTCCTTTAATTTACAGCCATGACTAGTCAAGTGCTTTTAGGAACTAAGTAGTTGAACACATAAAAAAATATTTGAGAAAACAGGTCAAATGCTAAACAGATTGGCACTTCTTTGTTCATAATCAAAAAGCCATTAGGCAAGTATGAACAAGAGTTTCAAAATGTCAGTAAATCTGAGGATATCAAAGATTTTCTAAGCCAGCAAGTTAATTGGTATTTTGATCCTTCTGAGCAACTTAACAACAAAATGGATGAGCCAGCAGTTTTTCCCCCTTGATGTTATTAAACAAATAGGTGTGCTTCTTATCTTCCTGCTCAATACTGCTGTTTTGTAAACTCTTAGCAGGAAATATGAGAACAAAACAATCAAAGACAGGAGCAGAGCCATTCAGGGTTTATCAGGTGGAGGTAAACAAAAGATAAAGTCTTGTTTCATGTTACTCTTTACTGTCTTCTGTTTTCATGTAGACCAGATTATTTCACAGTGTTGCAAACTGAAAAAAGGTTTATTGGGTTAAAAACAGATGGGGAAGAAAGGATTTAAATGTGGCTTATTTGCACACTGATATACAAGGACCTGTTATAAAAACCCCTTTCCCCCAAGTAGGAAAAAAGTAAGTCCTGGGTTCTACATATAACGATAAATGCTGTCACTGTCCCAAACCCTCGTGAACAGATAGCTTCATTTCTTTCTTTTTTTTAAAGAAGTTAGGAAGTGAAAATAAGAATCATTTCTTTCCAGTGACCTCTTTCCTGGCATCCTCTCTGCTGTTTTAGAATGTTTTGCCCCAGAATTGTGACCAGGTGGGTTACTGTTAAATTGTTCCAGTAAACACTGCCTTCTCAGTGGTGAACTGGTGGTAAAGGAATTGTAACACACAGGTATCCAGGTTGTAGCTGTATTGGTCTAGATGAAAAAGCAATCAGGGCTTGTGGACAGAAGTGATATCTTTTATTAGAACAAGATTTTTGCAAAAAAAAGTCTTTAATTGCAAGCTTTCTGACACAAATGCCCTTCATCAGGCATCAGAGGAAAGATTGTAAAAGTTCTCCTGGGTAGAAATGAAAGTTCATTTGAAAAAATAGGGTTTTTCCATCTATTGACTCCTCTGCGAAATCCTATGAAATATGAACTTTCATTTCTACCCAGGAGAACTTTTACAATCTTTTCTCTGATGCCTGATGAAGGGTGTTTGTGTCCGAAAGCTTGGAATGAAATAATTTTTTTTGCAAAAATCTTGTTGTTCTAATAAAAGCTATCACTTCTGTCTACAAGCCCTGATTGTAAAACACAGGGGGCTCAAATTAGATCACACCCCCATTGTGCTAGTCACAACACGCATGCATGTGAAGATACAGTCACTGCAGTCTTAGGCCTCTGTCTTATGACTTCATACACCAGCATTCATTCACTCATGCACCAGGAGGAAACCCCATTAATTTTAATGGGCTTTATATGGCCACTAAGATTCACCTATACACATACTGTTACAGGAATAGTACTAAGGAAAAAAACTTTCACTCCCAGGCAATATCACTGCTTCTAGCATTGCTCGGGCATTAAAAATCCTGCAAAACTATACTCTTGCATATGCTTTTCTTCTAATCTCTCAGATTATGCAATGATTAAGTTAATTATATTCAAGAACAGGGAAGCACTGAATGAAATGTAAAAGTAAAACATTCAAAACATAAAGAAGGAGGCACTGACTTTTAAAAATAGCCTATTTAAATACTTAGTCAGCACTGAAGCAAAATCCCAAAATGATGTTTGGAGACATGCTTTTAATGACTGTAATATCCTGGCTCCATTGAAATCAGCAGGAGTTTTGTCATTGAATTCCAGGGGCACAGGATTTCACCCAATCTACCTAGCTAATTTTCTCTGGTAATTTCAATTGAATAAACTTTGTCCTCCACATCTAGTTCTTAGACTCTTGGTATTTGTTGTGCACTGTTACACAGCTGCAGGATGCTTTTCATTCCAGTGAGGTTTGTTACTCATAGGTGGACAGAAGTGATTACATATGTAAAGGTGTATATAGGTAGTCACTTGTGAGTTATGCAGGGTGTCCCAAGTGAACCTCAATTAAATCATTATATCACATCACGCCATCATATAGTTTGTAGCATCTTTTACAAAATTAAAATCTTTGACACTTTTAGAAAATGTTTTAAAATGGTCTAATTATTTTATTATTTGTACATTTCTTCCTATTCTCCTTCTCTAAAATGATAATTCTTCAGTACCATGACTTCATTTGTACAAACTTTTAAGCATGAGAAAAAATATTACCAACACAAGTTAGGAATTACTGAAGAGTTTTTTTCATGCACCATTTGAAGGAAAAATATTTCAGGACCTACCAGGGTTAAGAACTAATACTGGGTTCTGTTGCAAAATTAGAAATCTCCTTGGAATGATTGTCCATATACACATGCTAAGGTCTCTTTCGCCTTTGCTATATCTGCAGAGCACACCACTATTCTGCTCTGCCTTATCCCCTGCACTGAGGGGACAAAGGACTGTGGGCAGTTCCTGGTCTTCGATTATTCTTAATCATCTGGCTAGACATGGAGCATTCTGGTTGGCAGTAGGGTAAGAAGGCATGGGCAAGCAGGGATGCAGTCCCAGGCACCAATTTAAAGGGGATGCCCCTGGCCCATGCTCAGGCCCATGCACTGCCACAGCAGCAGCAGTAGTCAGAGTGGGAGAGGAGGTAAGCACTTGGCACCCCACAAAGTTCTAGTGCTGCCTCTGCTACTTGGCTTATGTTTAGCAACCTACAACCTTATTCAAAGCCTCCTCATCAAAATGCTTCCCCATTTCATTAAAATAATTTTGCCCTTTCATTATTACTGTTATTGTCCATCTTTTTCTTCACAAAAAGAAAAGCAAAATTGTTTTTTCTTAGCAGTTGAATTCTTCTTTTGGTGGGGGTCGTACTCTTTTGGCACCACTCCCCATGCTTTGTTTTTCACTGTACCATGTAACATTGCCACCTGGGGGCCATATTTCCCTTGTTGATTATTTCCTGTATCATCTTCCTTTTTAGTGAAACTAGATGCTCTCATTTATTTTTCCTCCTCAAGTGTCCTTATGATGATTCTCCCCATTCTCCAGGGTTGAAGTTGGGCCCATCTTGTAATGGCACTATGCCTATATCAGATGGGCATACCACATGCCTCAACTGTTTGGGTGAATTCCATATTCCTGGGAAATGGTCCATATGCATATCCTTTATATCCAAGATACAAAAAGGCCACAAACTCAA